GCCCGGGAGTCTGGCGGGCGACGGCTCTGCTTGCGGAGCGACTGGCACGGAAGGGGTGGGTGAGCCACCCACTTGGAGTTCGCGGGCTCCGGAGCCCCATCCTTCCTTCCTTCCTTCCTAAGGCACACATGCGTGGCCCCGAGGCTGGGAAACGGTGAGCCCAGCTCAGCACTACACTCGGCTTCGAGGGAACACGGGGGCGCCCAAAGAATACCTGCCACTGCCAGGCTTCCTCCGGGTCGACTGCTGCAGAAGTTAGTTTGCAGGCTCCTGAAAGCTCCGCCTGCCCAGTGGCTTCCCTGTCATTCAGACCGGCCAAAGTCTCCCAACCAGGGCTCCTTCCCCCTAAGCTGAGTCAGTGCGAGCCAGCTCGCCGTTCTTTAGCCTCCGGCTCACACATTTCTGTCTCCGCTCCGGAAGGGACGGGGCTCCAGAGCAAACGAATTGGTGCGGTAGCCAAATGGCTCATAGCTCACCACTTGAATGCCGGCAGCTCACAAAGCAGAATTTTTGCTCACAGGACTCCACAGCTTAGAGGGAGCATTGTTCCCAACAACCTAGAAATCCCGCCATCCCTCCCAAGACAGGAGTTTTGCTCCAGCCAGGTCTCAATGGGTGTGTGTGTGTGGCTGTGGCTGTTACAATCATCTTTCCATGAAGCCTACCCTCTTCAGGGGTCATTTCCTAGAAAAAGAGGTGCAGGGGCTCATTAGCATAACTTATTTGCCTATGCCACACCCCCTGGCATCACCGGAAGTGTGTCAGAAGGCAACACCCACTGCAACTTACCTGGCTGCTTCTTGCTCCTCCTGGCCTGGGGCTGCTGGGAGCAGGGGGCGGGGCTTCTTGCATTTGCCCGCCCCCTGGGCTCTTTTTGAGAGCCCAGGGGGCGCATTGCAAGGTGGGCACTGCATTTCCAAGAGGAGGGGAGCCAGCAGTCCCTGGAGTTGCATGTTGCACGTGCCCGCCCCCTGAGAGCCAGTTTGGTGTAGTGGTTAAGTGCGCGGACTCTAATCTGGGAGAACCGGGTTTGATTCCCCACTCCTCCGCTTGCACCTGCTGATGTGACCTTGGTTCAGTCACAAGCTCTGGCACAGCTGTCCTTGAAAAAAAGAGCAGTTTCTGTCCGAGCTCTCTCAGCCCCACCCACCTCACAGGGTGTCTGTTGTGGGGAAGGGAAGGGAAAGGAGTTTGTAAGCCACTCTGAGACTCCAAGTGAAGGGCAAGGGGAATAAATCCAATCTCTTCTTCTTCTTCTTCTTCTTTACTGCCGGAGCTCCGCTCCTGTGCGCTCCTGCAGGAAATGACCCATGACCCTCTTACCGATGCACCTCCCTCCCCATCTCTCCAAGGCCCCTGCAGGGACTGCCAGGGTTAAGAGGCAAACTCCCGCTGCCACCCAAGGGAACCTCAAAGGTGTTTCTCCCGCCAGACCAGATGACTCCCGTCCTGCCACTCTCCTCCTCTCTTCAGTGAGGGCCAGCGGCGGCTCTGCTGAAGGAACTGGGCTCAAGCCCACGAAAGGAGGCCTTGGACTCCCACCCCGTGGCCCCTCCTCCCTTCCATGGGAGACGGTTGACTCCCCTGTCGGGATCCTGACTCCACAAGACCTGTTCCCTTAAAGTTTGCTCCTGACGCCTTTTGAGGGGGCTGGTTTCCAGTACGGCAAAGCTCCTTGGCTTCCTCGCCCCGATATTTTCACGCCTCTCCGAGAGTCACCCAGGCCAGAGGCCACGGCTGCTGATGCAGAGCCACTGATGGTGGGCCCTCACCCTCCGTGTCCCTTTGCAGTCCTGCCTTGTTCGTTGCAAAGAACTGTCTCACCAACAGAGGCAGGCCGTGCCCGGTGCGCCAGATGGCCGTCCCTCCCAGCTTCAGGGGTGACGGGAAACGCTTCTGTCTACAGCGCTTCAGACATGGGTCCATGCCTTGCACCAAACAAAAAAACCCCAGTAATGTCTCTGTTCTTCTTCTTCTTCTTCTTCTTTTTTTTTTTTTTGGTAATTTTATTGAACACAGTAACAGTTGTACAACAAAAGAAAAACGGAACAGGCATACAATACATAACACAAAATACGGTTCGAACTGACATATTCAGAAAGCAGAAATATAATTACTTATTGTACAACGCAGTACTAAAAATGCGTCAGAAAGTTTTTTGGTTTTTAGTGTGTCGCAGCTTATGGAACCGAAATTACCATAAGAATAACAGAACGAATGTCTTAGAATGTGGCAGAGTAGTAAGGTAATAACAAATCTAAACATTTTGACAGGGGACTTTAAAAGAGTACAACCGAGCGGTTAGTAATGTTTGGTTCTGACTCCTCAGAAGTTAATTATATTCAATAGACATTACTTATTTTTTTAATTTCGGTTTTGCCTAACCCCCTCCTGCCTCCTGCCAGAGTGGAATTCAGGATTGCACATGAACTGTCCGCATTACCTGACATTGTCCTGGCAAAGGAGCAAGCCAGGCCGACCCACTGGAGGAACATCTGTGCGCGTGAGCTCTCCCCGTCCAGGAAGCATCTGGCAGTGCTCTGCAGCCCTGGGCCGCTGCTGAGGTTCTGAGAGTTCTCCAGGGCCCCTCTGCTTCCAGAAGGAACACCCCCCTCCCCGGGACTTTTTGCGGGCAGGCTGTGCCTCCGCTGGCAGAGGATTTCCCACTCCCGCAGTCTGGATAGGCTCCCTTGGCATCCTTCTCTCTTCCGAGGCTGTTTTGGGGCAGGAGGGCGGCGTCAGCCAGCTCCAGGTGGGCCTGGCCTGGCTCTGTCCGCCTGCGTCGCTTGACTGACCCTCCGCGGTCTTCTCCCCTCGACAGACAAAGCCACGGACCCCAGTAAGACCGATACAGACTGGGAGTGCATCCAGAGGTTTTGCGACCAGGTCAACACAGACGCGGAAGGGTAAGAAAGCGTGGCGCCGGTTGGGAGGGGGGGCTGCCCCAGATTTTGACTGCAGGGAAGAAGAAAGGGGCCCGAGTGGTTTCCCTCGTGGTTCGGCTGCAGAACCGGCATTCCAAGCGCCTGCAATAATGCGAGTGGCAAAGAGTGCTTCTGAGCATAGCCAGAGTGCCTTGCAGTGGAGTGATGCCGGTTGCCCACCACATCCCCTGGGATTCGGGGCGGGACAGAGGGCCCCGTAGGGCAGACCCAGAGAGCGGGACTTCAGTTTCTGCTCCTCTCGTCTGCTGGTGGCCCACCTCTCTGGGCTGTTGTGAACACCACCACGATTTCAACGCCTCCTCTTGCTCCCCAGGCCCGCCGTTGCCCTCAGGCTGTTGGAACACAAGATCCAGTCCCCCCAGGAGGCGGAGGCCCTGCAGGCCCTGACGGTCGGTGTCCCCTGCCCGCCCCACTGGCCTCTGGGATCTGGGCTTCCTTGCAAGGGAGGGGGGTGGGATCGCCGGAGTGCCGCTTCGCCCTTCGTTCACCTTTGGAACGGCTGCTGGCACATCGCGTCTCCAGGCCCCGGGTGCCTGGTTGCTCCGGACTCCACGGGGCCCCTGCGCCGTGTTTGTGGGCCACTGTGTGAAGCAGAGGGCAGGGGGGGGGGGCTCTTGATAGCCCAGTCCAGCAGTTGGATTGGGGCCTGAGCCCGGAATGCTGGGGCGCAGCTCTGGTATTCACATGGTGGGTGGGTGGGTTTTTTTGGGGTGTGTGTGTGTGTCTCTTCTTCTCCCAGGAGGTGCCTCCTGTTAGGCTGGCTCTGCGACCTCCCGTCTGGGGTGCACATTCCGCCAGGGGTCCTGGGAAGGGTGTCTGCCCCACCCCACTGTTGCAGAAGGGGCCGGACTCCCTGCAGAGGGCTGTCCTAAAGTCCCTGGGCCTTTCCCGTGGATTTTCCTCTCTGCCTGCAGGTCCTGGAGATGTGCGTCAATAACTGCGGGGAGAATTTCCACAGCGAAATGGGGAAGTTCCGGTTTCTCAACGGCCTCATCAAAGTCCTCTCCCCCAAGTACCTCGGCGAGTGGTCGGCGGAGAGCGTCAAGTCTCGGATCATCCAGAACCTCTTCAGCTGGACGGTGTGGTTTCCCCAGGAAGTGAAAATCCGCGACGCTTATCAGATGCTGAAGAAACGAGGTGGGGTTTTTTTGCCGTTGTTCCTTTTCTGGTCATCACGGGATCACACACACACACCCCAAGTCACAAGCCTCGGACTCTGACGGGCTTTTTGCTGGTGTGGCTGCAGGAGGGAGGGGGCAAAAGAGGATCTTGGCGACAGCCGCTCCGCTCGGAGCTTGCGTCGGTGGGTGCCGGGGATTATGGGATGGAAAGCTTCTAGGCACACACTGTGGTTGCATGGGCTTCGTGCAAGACACAGGGCATTTTACCTTCTTTCTGTGGCTTTTCTGTTCCCGTTAACGGCAAGAAATGGCGACCGCAGAAGGGAAATTGCCCCTGCAGACCAGCTGGCCTGCTGACTCACATGCTGTCTCTCTGTTTCGGTGCGAATGCCCTTCGCCCCCTGAGGGTGTTCCGGTTGCAAGCGCCTTTTCAAAAGCCCCTTCGACAGTGCTGCAGTTTGGGGGGGGGGGCTCTTGGCAGTGCAGTGCAGCCATCCTGACTCCAGGGGGCAGCGTTCAACAACCAACGGCCCCTGAGAGCCAGTTTGGTGTGTCGTGGTTGGGCGCGCCGGCCGGACTCTGATCTGGGAGAACCTGGTTTGATTCCCCGCTCCTCCTCCACATGCAGCTGCTGGTGTCATTTTCATTTTAATATAATTTTTATCGAGTATATATTTCATGTTTCATAAAAGTAATTCATATCCTTCTATATTATACTCTCACGTTTTAAACAAAAAATAAATAAATTGAGGTTACATTCCATCTACACAACCGACAAACCCAATCCCAATCCAGTTTGTATCCTCTTTTTTATTCCCTTATCCCACCCACTTATCAGCTGCTGGTGTGACCTTGGGTCAGTCACAAGTTCTCTCGGAGCTGTTCTCCCTCAATGGCGGTTCTCGAGAGAGCTCTCTCAGCCCCGCCTACCTCACAGGCAATGCTCCCTCTAAGCTGTGGCGTCTTGTGAGCAAAAAATTCTACTTTGTGAGCTACTGGTATTAAAGTTGTGAGCGAGTGATTTGGCTATTGCATAAATTAGTTTGCTTCTGGAGCCCCATCCTTCCTGAGC